TCGTCTTAACTGCCACTCAAGCTGTGGTAAAAGTTGGGAACCTTTGCGAGGAAAGGGACACACATCTCATCTGCTTTGATTTGAGCTTCTTATTCTTCGTTCAAGCTATGGCGTGCCGCAATTAGTGCTTTGAATTGGTAGCCTGCAGACAGGCAGCCAGCGAGCCAACTCAAACGTGTGTGATTAATCAATAGACGTGCAGCTGTGTGGTTTGTGGTTTCACTGCAACATTTTGAACGGAAGTCCATTTGCTCAGCTCTATTTTAGCTAAGAACTTCCGGCTTCCTGAGCTCACAGGAAGTTGGATTTCTTTAGAGTCCCCTTCAAGATTGCTTCACTTCGATAGTTCGACAAAATGTCAAATTTTGGACAATCTGTACGGAGACCCCGACCAACCCACCAATTTGTATGGAAAAGTAAAAATAATGAGGAATCCATATACACTTTGTCCAAACAGCAAGGATCTAATAGCTGCCTGTACACTGCAGCAACATTTTGACTTACATGTGCTGTAAAACAGAACCATCCTCCTTACCCGAATTTTCTTCAAACAAATTACCGTGAAGAAAAAAGAAAGCAAAAAACGCGATTGCGTAAAAATGTAGATATTAACCCCGCCTCGAAAAATGGGCAAAACCTAAAAACCGAAAATCCTATGTCCCCCTCTCCGAATGTCCTTCAAAATGGGAAAAGCATAGGAAGGCGTTTCCTGCGCAGAAATTACACAGAAAAATAAAGAAAAATTGTGGTAGGCAAAAGGACGGCGGAAACTATAATTTCCGCCGAAGAGTGCCTTAATTTGAACAAGGAACACGCGAACTTTGAGGTCAACTTTGAGGTTTCAGAGATAGAATGTCATATTTCGACACTTCTTTAATTAGGCACGAACTGAAGGAAATAAGTGATGACCGTTTTATGCAAAATCCAAATATTGTTTTTTCTCGTCATTCGCCTTTGTTAAAATGCTGTCAGAATACATTTTTTTTTTACCCCCAGGGGATTGTGAGGGATTCTCTGTGAGAATTGAGAGGTCAAAGAATTTTTTTTTAGAAAGCATACACGGACAGCCGGTAAGTCTCAATTTTATGCGCAAAGTTTCCTTCCAATTGATCGACGCATGAATAAAAAGGAAAGTATGAAATGAACTAATGGATGTTTTCGGCACACTGATCTTCAAGAAAAAAATGATTGATTGACGCGGGTGGCAAAGTTTTGACAGTGCTTGTCAAAATCAAGCAATAATTACCCATTTCTCAAAAGGTGATCGTTAAAGAAATTGTGAACGGAGTTTGACTCCATTTGGTCCCTTCACCACTCTCTACTCGTTCCATATTCAGTCTCATTGTCACCAATTCTCCTTGTTCCTGTCACTTCGCAAAAAAATAACTTATAAAGAATGTGCCGCTCATGATTATTCAAAACACGATCTACAGTTTTGTTACTGTCCATCTGTTCATACCTAGTTACAAACAGTTGGCTTACAGTACGGTGAGGCAAAAGTCTTGCTCGATTATCGCCTGAGCATTTTACAAAAACCAAGCATCCCCTGAGGAAAGTTGCATAAGGTGAATTAGGTGTACTGAGACAATTATTTAGTTACTAAAAATTCGTTGATGAATGTCATTGCTAACAAATGATTGTGACTTCCTTTCTTCTAAACTACCTCATCGGAACAGCATTTGTTATCAATTCGCTTTGGTTACTGATTCTCATTAGATACCGAGTAGACTAACAACAAGATAAGGCGTCATTAATCGTCAAGCAAAATTATCTTTCCAGCATATTTTCTGTCCTCCAAGGACTGATCTTTTAGTACAGGAGAAAAACATTGAGATCGTGTGCGAAAAGGCAAGTTTGATGGGTTTATTTTTTTTTTTCTCAAACCTTTTACGCGCTCGCTTCGGTTTTCATCTCTGGCCTTTATGCGAATTGTATATTGTACAAGGTCTGTCTATTTAACACATATTAGAAGTTTTTGGCTTAGATTTTTGTCCGCATATTGTGACTTTTCTTTTTTATTTGTGTTTTTGCAGTTACATCGCAAATGTCAGGTCGGTCTATTAAATGTACCTGTCAGTCAACACGACGCTGGTGCCTAAGAGAACTAAGGAGCCAAGTAAGATGTTTTCTTCTATAGCAAGTAGGATCATTAAATTTCCGGCTAACGAGTGTTCTTAAATTCGGTTGTGGATGCCATCAGTTTTAATCCTGCTTAACAACGTGGCCAATAACTTGTCGCATATCAAACTCTTCCTCTCCGTCCCTCATCTTTCGGGTCTTAGCGATTTGTTTCAACAACAAGAAGCAACTTAGAAAGGCATTCTGGACTCAAATAATAGCTTTTTGCAATAACCAGGACAGCAGCTTCTTGTGAATCAAAGTGGCGGTGTCCATCGTGGAATGTTTAGTACATTTTAAGAAGATTTTTAACCACTTCAATTTTTAGAATCCTAAACCGCTGTAATTTTTAATGGCGTCGATAAATACTTTTTGGCCCCTGGAGTATAATTGTCACGGTCTTTAACTTCAAACATACTCCTTGTTTGCAACACACTTTGAGCAAATTGCTGCTGTTTTCATGTTGTTTTTCTTTTCACATGACCATTCTTTTTTATCTGGGTGCTTTGGGAAAACTTTTTATCTAAACTTATCAGTCTGCATCCCAAAAGTAAAGAATAGCGGTGAAAAACGGTTATTATGACAGAAATCTGCGAGATAGCTTGTTAAAACTGTATTCAGTCTTAGAAAATAAGAACTCTCAAAGGCATGCAAAGTTATTTTTTTTCTGTCCGAAAATTGATTATTTTTTTTTTCTTGTTATTTGGAAAATGTTTGCAGTTCTTGAATGGCCATGGAAACTAGTAATAATACTTCGTATGTCAACCTGAGTGGTTCCTCGGACTGCATTCCATGGCTTGTTGCTTCTATCACTGAATGTCTGGCCATTGTCATCCTCAATTTCTTCACCATTATTGTGTTTGTGAAGCAGCGCCATCTGCAGCGCCCGGGTACATACTTGATCATCCATATGGCCATAGTCGATCTCTTGGCTGGAGCAGTTTCGGGTCCTGTGATTGCTAATCATCTTCTGGGGCGCTATTGTGATTTATGGAAGCGAACTGACACGATTTATCCATTGGCTAATTTGTTTCCCATAACCTCTCTTGTAAATCTCGCTGTTATTTCTTTAGAAAGAATGCATGCTACAATCTTTCCCTTTGAACATCGCGTGATTAAGAGAAGGGTTTACGGAATGACAGTTGCCGCTATTTGGTTTCTAACTTCATCGAGGGAAACTGTTCAAGTTATTTTATACTAAACACAAGGCAATTCTCATCTTGCGATATCATTCTCAACAATTACCTTGGTGTCATTTTGGTCACTTCCCCTAATTTTGATTTGTGTCTCTTATATTTCTATTTTCATCAAAGTTCGTTTCAGTCCCAATCCTCAACATCATGGTGCAACCGACAGAGAGAGAAAACTGACCGCCACCTTACTTATTGCCACGCTTGCATCTTTGCTGACATGGCTTCCAGTTACAACTTTCAGAATAGTTGAATATTGGCATGAAGGTGCTCTCTTGGGCTGGTACACTCAACGGTCCTTCTTTCACATAAGAATGACACTAGCGGCTTTAGTTGGCGCTAATTCCTTGGCAAATCCTATTGCATATGCCATAAGGATGCCAGAATTTAGGGCAGGTATTGTCGAAATGTTCCGCAGAGCCCCAAGCACTACATGTCAAGCTAATTTACATCTGATAAATCTACAGAGCAAGCATCCGAGCGTTGGACGTCAGTCAAATAGACATGTGAATACTCGCATGTGATTGTTTAAAAGTATTAAAGTTATACCCGAAAATATAATGTGATGTAAACTCCTTTGCTGCCGGTGTAGACTTGAATACTCGAATAAGTTTTTAATATCACGAAGATCTGGTTTGACTGTACAAAAGGAAACAAACGTAAACAAAACGAAGCGAAACGGAAACACCACAGTGACAATATACTTACAAGATTTGTGGACTCGCAGGGAAACGTGCATAAACACTCGTGAGAAAAACAAGCGAACAGCGAAACCGAATTTTGACCTCTGCAAGTACGAGCACATGGCTCATCCCATTATACTAACAATGTAAATGACGTAATTTTACCAGTCCCGCGCGGACTGAACACGGGAAACGAAATAAACACTTGTAGAACGCTTTATAACTTACAGCTGGTGCATTGGCGTAGCGGGCATATCTTTGATACAAGTGAAAGTTTTGGTTCAACCTTTGCTCGTTGGTTCGTCGTACGGGACAGCCTATAATTACATGAACCACCTTTATGCGAGCCAAAAAGTTGTTTGATTACATGAAGACTTACAACTCATCCCATCCGGCACCTAGGCGATGAGTAGTATCCATCTATGAAGTCAACTAAGGTGGCAGCTCTTGAGAAACAGTTCTAGCATTAATCAACTACGTAATTGTTTAATAAGAATTCATTTGGAACACATCACGGGAAATATAGAATAAATGTGATTATTAACGGGAACCATCGTCATTCTATCCAACAAACATCGGGAGAGATTTCGCTCAGATGTTAAACAACGAGTCTTGCAAAGGGATCTCACTTATTCGACGCCAAAATATTTACAAATGCAAAGGAACACTTGTCTAACATAATTGTGAATTTACCTTTACTTAATAGGACTAACATCCTTGATTAGTTTAAAATCATTATGACTCATGCACTAGCAGACTGAAAGCAAGCAAACTGGACAAAACGGTATTAATTTAGAACTCCTGCGGAAATTTCTTTTAATGGAGATAAACCTTTTTCTACACCATACTTTCCCTTTAAATAAACCAGATGGTTGCAAGCCCACAATTTTCCTGTCTTCTTATTGGCTTGCTTCGCCAGTGTAAAACAATAAAAGTTTAAAGGAAATAGTAATTGGATTCTGAAATACATATTTTAATGCAAAGTACTCGTCATCTTCTTCCTCTTTATTGTTCTTGTCATCAAGAAACGACGTTTTTTGCTGAGCGACTCCCAAATTTGCGCGGAAAAAATCGATTAACCGGCGAAGGGACAAGTAGAGAAAGGTATTCATTTTTTTGTTCTGGCATCGTTTGGATCACTGGAACATGCTTCATCCTTATATAATTCACTTGTTAAATTTCACGATATGCTGTGTATATAATTGATAGTCGCTGATGATCATCTTCCATTTTATTCCGATTCTAAGTTATTTTTTTCCCTTTTTGTGCTCCCTCTTTCTGATTATCGATGATTCTTTTGAAACTTATACTGATAACATAGCAGGCACTCTTCAGTGCCATGCCTATTTATCTTCTAATTCTGAACTAGAAATCGCTTTGATAAACTTTTGGCAAAACTTTACAAAGTACTTTGCCTCTATATGCCTGACTTGTAATTAATGCTTGATAAATGAGCGCTATCTAAGTGGTGGCTAGAGTTAAATTACTTTGACACGATCACTTTTTTTCACTGAAGCATTTACTCGCAAAACAGTGCATTGAAATAGGAAAAATGTAGCGCAAGTAAAAAAAATATCTAGAGATATTTCTTGGGTTGCACGACAAATTGTTGTTTTGTGACCATGTCAGAAACTGATCCCAGAATAAAGCAGAAGTGATAGAATATTTCGGTATATTAATGACAGCGTCAGGCATGTCTGGTTTCAAATGTGTTTCTGTTACTACGCACACACCCACATCATTATAAGTCAAATCGGTCTCCAGAGCGACGGTCGCCCGAACACGATTCTTTGTATTTGCGTGACTGCATATGTTAATAAACATAAATTTAGAGACAGCGGAACTTGAAACGCTCGAGGATATTTTCCTTGGTTGACACTTGATAGGTTTTACATATCTTGCCGCTGGTATTTCTTTAACGCTTTGTGGTAGCCGACGGTTCTGTAGAACTTTGAGGAATACGTTTCCACATATTTAATTTTTGGCCACTTCTAAAACGGGTTTTTTTTTAGTGGTTTTTCGTATCAGTGAATACATGCAGTGCATTGTAGATTGTATTAGGATGCGTATCCTACAAGACTGGCTGACTCATCCTAAATAAACTTTTCACATTGAATATCTCGCCTGAGTGTAGTCAAAATGAGCGCATTTATTCGCATACTCTACTTCGCTGGTTTCCTTTTTTCTTTTGTTTTTTTTTTTATTCTTTCCTTTTGCAGAAGAAATTGCGTTAGAAAAATTCAGAGACTTCGATTTGTCCTCCACTTAAGATGAAAGTAATTTTCGATGAGACAATCAAATCCTACGCGGGAAATGATAGAAAACACCCGTCGTTTAACAAACTTACGTTGGCTTGATAGGGAGCAAAAAGCTGTAGTTTCGTTACTATGTACGTATATGGTATCGCCACCATATATGACATTATATTGTCTTGGGGAGATTAGAGTGGAGATATAGAGCACGAGGTTGTAAGATTCGGGTCGTTGTTACAAGAGCGGTTGTTCGAATAAAAGAAAGCATCTTTCCAAAAGCGTCTTCATTAAGTTGTAGCGAAAGAGTGGGGACTTTACGAACCAGAACGCGACGCAGTTTGAAAACACCGAAACCGAGAAGGGCCTGGGGCGAGAACTCCGTCACGAGCGCGGGAAAAACAAAGTTACGGATGCGAACGCGAAGACAGAGACAGAGCTGTGCAAATCCTTTAAACTGCGCTAAACATATTTTCGTTTTATAGCTGCTGTTATACTTCATGAATGGCAACATTCAGAGAGGCAAGGGTAGCTTTATTGTTTGCCTATCAAGATGGAAGCATCGATGATACAGAGTTTGCCCTGTTGTACGATTTCAATTCTTCTGAAAATCTCGAATTTCCTTATTGGAAGTATGGTCGCTTCGATCTTGATTCTATGACAGATGATGAGTGTAAGACTGAGTTTCGGTTTTTCAAGAACGATATTTATTTACTGGGTGAAGTTCTTGATACTCCAGACATAATGAAATGCCCTAATGGCGTTCTTGTGGACGGAACGGAGGCAAAGTGTTGGTAAAGTGTTGGCTATTCTATCTCAAATTTCGCTTCTTTGCGACAAACCCTTTCTTGTTTTGAACGAATTCTCGGAAACAACCTCTCTGCATAACAGGACATCATGCTCGCTTGTCCAGTGCATTACATTACTACGTGAAAAAAGAACAGTCTGTTTTAGTTTGTTTTGAATGAAGAACATAAATATAAAGTTTAAACTCACTTTTATCGTATAGTTAAGCAGGACAGGAAATTGAATCTTCTAATAAACTAAATTGTACTTATTTGACAGTTTTAGACTTTGGTATCGAACTCGGCTGGTCTGCGTGTTGTCCATTCATCGTAGCTGTAACCAATTGACCTGCAGTAAAAGGCAAACTAAAATGTTTGTTTGCTATTTTTTACAATAAACAACACTTTCATGGACTCAGAAAAACAGTTTTGCCTAAAAGGTAGCAAAATAAAATTTAATTCTAGTTCAAATCCAGTAGAAACTACTCACGTTTTCTGGAAACGCTACAAGTGCCAACCTCGTGTTCTGAAAGTGAAGAAGACGCGTTGCAGTTTAGCGCCAAGCATGCGCAGTGAAGCACTTTGTGAGCAAATTACTTCCGGTGACGTTTCAGGCTGCGTCGCGTTCTGGTTCGTAAAGTCCCTATTAACAGTTAAGCAACGCACTCGGAAAAGTTTTGACAGTGCTTGTCAAAATCAAACAACAAGTACCTATTTATCAAAAGGTGGTCGCAAAAGAAACTGTGGACAGAGTTTGAGTCTATTCAGTCCCTTCGCCACCCTCTGCTCGTCGCATATTTCAGACTCATTGCGACCAGCTTTCCGTGTCACTGTCACTTTGCAAGAAAAACATAGGGTCTTTCCTTACATTTGCGTGGCTCGGAAAGCCGCAAAGCTCTTGAACAAAAGTTTACCTTTCAAATCGGCTTACATAGGTATTAACGAACACTTTTCATTCTACTAGTTTAATCGTGTTTTTCTCGTTACCATATTCCCACCAGCAGCGTAGCTCCACTTTCTGTATATAAACCCACACACAACCCACAATTCCTCCATTCGCTCTGACGAGGGGTTAAACGTCAGCTTTTTTACTCGAAACGTCACATTTAATTTTTTACTCTTTACGGAGGCCAATTTACAATTTCAACTTAGTTGATGTAACCAAATTACCTGATAAAGAAGGTGCCGGTTTTAAGATCAAACCATAGTTATTCAGATCACAATCTGCAGTTTTGTTATTGACCATCTGTTCATACCTAATCATAAACACTTAAGGCTGGTTTTCACTTGCGACGGAGTCGTAGTCAGAGTCGTAATCAGAAGCGTGGAGCGATACGATCTAGTGAAAATCAAACCGATGGAGTCGGAAGCAGAACACCGATTCTGCCTATGACTACGTCGCTTACGATCTGGTGAAAACTGCATTTTCGGAGTCGGAAGCGGAAGCGAAAGAATAAACCAATCATAATCCTCGATTCCATCTTTCCAAAATGCACAAATAGCCGTAACAAATTTAAACGTGTGAGCTTGACGGTAAAATTACGAAATTAAAAGTTAAAATACTCGAACTGAACCCACCGAAAGTACGATTCACGATCACCAAGTCGTAGTTCGCTGACGAGGTTAGCATACTCTTCCTAGGCTGCTCGACGTCGAGCTGCCTAGGAAGAGTATGCTAACCTCGTCAGCGAACTACGACTTGGTGATCGTGAATCGTACTTTCGGTGGGTTCAGTTCGAGTATTTTAACTTTTAATTTCGTAATTTTACCGTCAAGCTCACACGTTTAAATTTGTTACGGCTATTTGTGCATTTTGGAAAGATGGAATCGAGGATTGTGATTGGTTTATTCTTCCGCTTCCGCTTCCGACTCCGACAATGCAGTTTTCACTAGATCGTAAGCAGCGGAGTCGTAAGCGGAATTGGCAGAAAATGGGAACGTTCTGATTCTTCGGACTCCGATTCCGTCGAGCTTATGACTCCGCTTACGACTCCGTTTTTCGATTTTCACCAGGTCATAAGCGCTCTTACGACTCCGACTACGACTACGACTCCGACTCCGTCGCCAATGAAACCAGCCTTTATTTTTTAGAGATGCTTGCTCGATTATGAGTGATATCACTGGAACATTTTAGAAAACCAAGGATCTATAGCAAGGAAAGTTGCTTGAGGTGAGTCAGGTGCACTGAGACAATTATTTGTTACTAAAATCCACTGATGAAAGTCATTGCTAACAAAGGATTGTGACTTCTCTTCTTCTAAATTACCTCATCGGAGCAACATTATCACTCTGCTTTGGCTACCGATTCCCATCATATACAGAGCAGATTAACAATAAGGTAAGGTGTTATTAATTGGCAAGCGTAGTTATCTTTCCGGCATATTTTCTTTCCTAGAAGGATTGAATTTTTCAGTTGAGGAGAAAAACATTGAGATCTTGGGCGAAGAGGCAAGTTTAAAGTTCTTTTTTTTATTAAAATTTTATGCCGGCGCTCGTTTCGGTTTCCATCTCTGGCTTTTACGCATAGTTTATGTTGCACAAGATCTGTCTATTTCATACATATTAGAAGTTTTTGCTCTATATTTTTGTTTGCAGATTATGAATTTTTCATTTGTATTCGTGTTTTTGCAGTTATATATCATTCCAGGTCGGTCTGTTAAACATAGCTGTCAGTCAACAAGAAGTTGGTGCAGAAAAGAACTTAGAAGCCAAGTAAGATTTTACAAAGGTATCAAGCAGAACCGTTTTAATTGTATGCCACCATTTTAAATCCTTCTCAGCAACATGGCCAATAATTTGTTGCATATTATACTCTCTCTCTCCACCTTCTCTTTTTCCGTGACTCAGCAATCTGTTTCAACAATGTTAAGCAGCTCAGAAATACATTCTGGATTCAAATAATAATTGTTTGCAGTAACCAGGGCAGCAGCCTCTCATGAATCAAAGTGGGGGTGTCCATCTTGGAATTCTTGGTAAATTTTAAGACAATTTGAGATCGCTTAGATCGTTACCTGCTTACTTAAAGACTTTGCTGAAACTTTCTAGTGAAACTCACTCACGAGAAACCAGATATGCCAATTTTAATGTAGCTTGTCCGATCGTCAAGCGTCAAAAGTAAGGAGGAAGAACTTCTACAAGGACAGCATGTAAAACGTGGAACACCCTGCCACTATCAACTCGAAAACTGGCCACCTTAAGTAGTTTCAAAACATCACTCTGGAAGAGCATTTTCAATGACCAACAGGTTTTAAAACATTTTATTCTGTAGTTTTCATAGCTCATTTTTGTGTAGTAAAGCCATAGTTTTTTATATCTCTAATACTTTTATTGTATTTTTACTGCTAGGAGGGCCACTGGTTTATTAGTATTCTTTTCTATTTTAGTGCTACCCTCATTAAATAAAGCCTTTACTTACTTACTTACTTACTTACTTACTTACTTACTTACTTACTTACTTACTTACTTAGAATCCCAAACAACAGTAATTTTTAATGTCGGCGATAAATATTTCATGGCCTTTGGAGTTTAATTCTCTTTTAAGTCTCAAGCACAGTATTTGTTTGCAACACATTTTGAACAAATCGCTGCTGTTTTCATGTTGTTTTTGTTTTCACTCGACCATTCTTTTTTCATCTGAATGCTTTAGGTAAACCTTTTAACAAAACTCATCGGTCTTTATCTTGAAAACAAGGTGAGGAGGTTAAAAAGTTTATTCTGGCGGAAATATGCGCGACGGATAGCTAGTTAAAGTTATACTCTTTAATCTAGCGAAATAAGAACTCTCGAAGGCATGTATGGTGTTAATATTTCTACATTCAGAAAATCGATTATTTTTTCTTCTTATTTGGAAAATCTTTGCAGTTCTTGAATGGCCATGGAAACCAGTAATCTGAATGCCTCGTATGATTTCTCGCCTTGTATCCCTTGGCTTGTTGCTTCTATCGCTGAATGTCTGGCTATTGTCATCCTCAATCTCTTCACCATTATTGTGTTTGTAAAGCAGCGCCATCTACAACGCCGGAGTACATACTTAATCATCCATATGGCCATAATCGATCTCTTGGCTGGAGCAGTTTCAGGTCCTCTGATTGTTTACGACATTTTGGGGCTCTATTGTGATTTACGGAAGGAAACTGACACGATTTATCCATTGGCCCATTTCTTTCCCATGGCCTCCATTGTAAATCTCGCTGTTATTTCCTTAGAAAGAATGCATGTCACAATCTTTCCCTTTGAACATCGCGTGATTGAGAGAAGGGTTTACGGAATAGTAATTGCTGCTATTTGGTTTCTAACTTCATTGAGGGAAATTGTTGACTTTGTGTTATACGAAACACAAGGAAATTCTCATCTTGCAATATCATTCTCAACAATTACCTTGGCATCATTTGGGTCGCTTTCTCTGATTTTGATTTGTGTTTCTTATATCTCTATTTTCATCCAAGTTCGATTCAGTCCTACTCCTCAACAACACGGTGCGACCAACAGAGAGAGTAAACTGACCGCCACCATACTTATTGCCACGTTTGCATCTTTGCTAACGTGGCTTCCAGTTACAACTTTCAGAGTAGTTAAATATTTGCATGTAGGTCTTCTCTCGGGCTGTTACACTCAACGGTTTTCCTTTCATATAAAAATGACGCTAGCGGCTCTAGTTGGCGCTAATTCCCTGGCAAATCCTATTGTATATGCTATAAGGATGCCAGAATTTAGGGCAGGTATTGTCAAAATGTTCTGCAGATCCCCAAGCACTACAAGTGAAGCTGATATCATTTACCTCTGATAAATCTCCAGAGCACGCATTTGAGTACTGGACGTCAGTAAAATAGACACGTAAATACTTGCATTTGATTCTTTTAAAGTATTAAAATCATACCCAAAGATATAATGTAATGTAGACTCCCTTGCTTCCGGTGCATTAGCGTAGCGAGTATATCTTTGATACATGTGTAAGTTTTGATTCAACCTTCGTTGGTTGGTTCGTCGTATGTAACAGCCTATAGCTATAAGAGTCACCGATTATAGAAGCCAAAAAGTTGTTTGTTTTCATGAAGACTTACAAATCATGCCATCCAGTACCTAAGCGATGAGTAGTATCCATGCATGAAGTCAACTAAGCTGACAACTCTTCAGAAATAGTTCTAGCATTGATCAAATATGTAACTGTTTGATAATAATATATTTAGAACAAATTACGGGAAATAGAAAATAAATGTAAATATCAACGAAAACCATCGTCATTCTATCGAACAAACATCAGGAGAGATTATACTCAGGTGTTAAACAACGAGTCCTGGAAAGAAATCTTACTTATTCGACATCCAAATATTTACAAATGGAAAGGAAAACTTGTCTAACATAATTGTGCATTTACTTGTACTTAATAGGACCAACATCCTTGATTAGATTAAAATCATTATACCTCGTGCTCTAGCAGACTGACAACAAGTGAAGAGGTGAAAGTAAAAGGACTAAGAGGCTCGTTTGGCATGCGAGTGAGGAAAAGAGCGCATTTCATTTCGTTTATTGATGAAATAAATATTATGCAATCCCCAATTTGCAAAAGTTTTGGTGTCAAGCAAGAACTTTAAAAGAAACCCAGAGAAAGGGAGTCAAGACCCCATATCCTCCCCTTGGGTCCGCTAATGTATAATTCGGCGTAAGATGCCTCAGTGGTAGCATCTTTTATACATCTTAGAGAAGATTGCCCCTTATCAAGATAAACATTGTTCTATATTTCTTCCAGCACCGGTGCTGCATCATAAGTTAACTCAGCTTCGCTAAAAGTTTGTTCTACTTTAGATGTTTTTTAGGGTACGTGATTAGCATGGCAAAACAAGAGGGCGTCCTCTAGATAAAAGCGCTTCAAGTAAGAAGAAAACAAGGAATATAATACGGTCAGATATCTGTCCAAATGGGGACACTCTTGTTAGCGGACAACTCAGCCACGCATCGCCCGTAAGAAAAAACCGTTTGAAACCTCATACTAAATCTGTATTTGCTCATTGATAATGATAATAATAATGATAAGGTTTATTCAACCTTTATCAGTGCACCTGATCAGTGAGGTAAAACTGCAGATGACCCCGTCTCTATCAGTTCATGTGTTCATCTCACGTTATACAGCTTACAAGAGAAATTTGTTCTTTACGTCAGGAGGCTCAGTAATTACCACTTTTGCTTACATGCTCCTGTTTCGAATTTAGTTGATATGCCTTCAGACATTCAACCACAAGACAGCCCACCACAGTTCAGCTATTAGTTGATTCTCGTCACAAAGGTCAAACATGTCAACAAGAACGGAGCGTCAAATACAGTTTGACTCAGTTGCTACATCATAACCGACGTCATATCTGCGATAGCGTGCTTTTAGCCATGAAAGTTTTAAATAAGGGCAACTTCAAAGCGCTCTTGTTGCAATTGCAAGGCAAACTGGACGAAACGGTAATGATTTTGGAACTCCAGAGTAAAAGTTCTTTTACCTGAGATAAACCTTTTTCTAGACCGTACTTTCCATAAATAAACTGCGTTTAGTTGAGACTCACCTAATGCTATGCCAGATGGTTGCAAGCCCACAATGTTCCTGTCCTCTTATTGGCTTGCTTCGATGGAAAATAATGAAAGTTTAATGCGAATAGTTATTGAATTCTGAAATACATATTTTGATGCAAAGCACTCGTCTTTTTCTTTCTCTTTACTGTTGTTGTTATCAAGGAACGACGTTTTGTGTTGAGCGACTCCCAAATTTGCTTGGAAAAAAGTCGATTAATTGGCGAAGGGAAAAATAGAGAAAGGTATTCTTTTTTTTTGTTCTGGTATCGTTTGGATCACTGGAACATGCTTCATCCTCATTTAATTCAGTTGTTAAGTTGTTGATGATATGCTGTGCATAATTAATATTCGCTGATGATCATCATCCATTTTAATTCTATTCTGAGTATTGATTTTCCATTGTTGTGCTCCCTCTTTTGGTCTAGAAATGGCTTTTGGCATAACTTTACTTAGTACTTTGCCTTTATATACCCTACTTGTAATTAATGTTTGATAAATGAGCACTATCTAACTGATCGTCAGAGTTAAATTACTTTGACGCGTTCACTTGTTTCACTGAAGCATTTCCTCGTAAAAGAGTACATTGAAAGAGAAAAAATGTGGTGCAAGTAAAAAAAGAAAAGAATTAAAATTTCTATAGATAAAGTCGGTATCTGGCAATTTTCTTCTTTTTTTTTTTCTGTTTATTTATTTTTTTCTGCTGAGAGACTGACACTCAAATGTTTCAAATGTGTTTCTGTAATTACGCACACATCCACGTCATTATGTGTCAAATCGGTCTCTAAAGCGACGGGCGCCCGAACACGATTCTTTGTATTTGCGTGACTGCAGATGTTAATAAACATAAATTTAGGGACAGCGGAAATTGAAACGCTGGAGGATGTTTCCCTGTTTGACACTTGGTAGGAGTAACATATCATGCTACTGGTATTTCTTTAGCGCCTTGAGGTAGGCGGCGGCTCTGTATAACTTTGAGGAATACGTTTCCACATATTTTTAGCTACTTCTAAAGAGTGCTTTTTTTTAGTGGTTTTTCCTATCTGGCGTTGCATAGGCTCTTTTTGTGGAACCCTTCAGTCTAAGTGAACACATGCAGTGCATTGCAGATTGTATTAGGATGGGTGTACTACAAGACTGGCTGACTCATCCTAAATAAACTTTTCAAATTGAATATCTCATCTAAGTGTAGTCAGAATGAACGCATCTGTTCATATGCTCTACTTCGTTCGTTTTTTTTTTTTTATTTCTTTTGCGGAAGAAGTTGCTTTAGAAAAATTCAGACTTCAATTTGTCCTTCACTTAAGATAAAAATAATTTTCGACGAGACAATCGAGTCCTAAACGGGAAATGATAGAAAACACCAGCTGTTTAACAAACTTACGTTGGCTTGATATGAAGCAGAAAGTGTATTGATTAAGTTGTAGCGAGAGATGAACAATTCAGCGACGCACTCGGCAAAGTTTTGACAGTGCTTGTCAAAATCAAACAACAAGTACCTATTTGTCAAAAAGTGGTCACTAAAGAAATTGTGGACAGAGTTTGACCCTATTCGGTCCCTTCGCCACCCTCTGCTCGTCGCATATTTCAGACTCATTGCGACCACCTTTCCTTGTCACTGTCACTTTGCGAGAAGTACATATGGTCTTTCCTCACATTTAGGTAGCTCGGAAAGCCGTAAAACTCCTGAACAATAGTTTATCTTTCAAATCGGCACTCTTAACTCCATAAGTTTAAACGGACGCTTTCCATTCTACTAATTTATTCGTGTTTTTCTCATCACCACGTTCCCACCAATAGCGTAGCTCCACTTTCTGCATAGAAACCCGAACACAACCCACAATTCCTCCATTCGCTCTGACGAAGGGCCAACGCTCGAAACATTGCATTACGTTCTAATTCGCTTCGCTCAAACGAACGTAAATCCTTACCCTTAAAGTGCACCTAAACCCCAATTTTTTTTTTTCGCTTAAAGAAATAAGCTTATTTTTTGGAGTATTTCTGCGCAAAAAAATTTAATTTGCTCAAATCTTTAATTTTCTATGCCCAGTCAAAATACAGAAACTCGGCCGCCATCTTGCCCCACGACCGAGTTCAAAGAAGAATGGCTCTAGCGGGTAATGTGACGTCAAATCGAGAACACAAAAGTCTGCATCTCACACATTTTCACTTGTTTGGGAAGATTGTCGTCGATATTGTCCGAAATATGCCGACTAGGTGTGTTGTATGAAGAATGTATGAAGCGCGATACCCTCTTGCAAATTTCGCACGTTGCTACATCCTTCTACAACACACTTAGTCGGCATATTTTCGGACAATTATCGACTACAACCTTCCCAAACAAGTGAAAATGTGTGAAATGCAGACTTTCGTGTTCTCGATTTGACGTCATATTACCCACTAGAGCCATTCCTCTTTAAACTCGGTCGTGGGGCAAGATGGCGGCCGATTTTCCGTATTTTGACTGGGCATAGAAAATTGAAGATTTGAGCAAATAAAAAAATTTTTGCGCAGAAATACTCAAAAAAATAAGCTTATTTCGTTAAGCGAAAAAACATATTTTGGTGTAGGTGCACTTTAAATTCCCGTAATATAAACAAATCACACGAGAAATATATATGGTAGGATGCGCAAGCGGATCGAAAACACAGTTTATTATAAGATAGAAATTAGAAAGTTGTTATTGTTTACAATTCTTTAGATGCTACTGTATGCAGAAACTAATATACGCTCGATAATACGTTACAAACCTAAATACTTAGTTACATGTAACCTGTTTTCAAGGCTTTCTTCAACATACAAATCCTTGGCAGAATCAGATTTTCACCTACCATGTATTTTAAGAAGTCTTTCTGGAATCGAGTTCCTACTATTACTTACCGCAGACGTAATACCACTGGATCTTAAACTATGAAGACCATAATCATTAGGGGTTGTAGCCCAGGGGCCTAAATAAAGGGAGAGGACTACTCAAGTCAATACCAGATAAATCTGAATAACCTTGTAAAACACCAACAGGACAGTACTTAGACCTGGATGCACTAACAAAGACGAAATTCCCTTCCCTATAAACATTTGTCTTACCACGAGGCACAAAGATTCTTATATAATCGCTGTGAAATTCAATATACTTAGGAACGATATTGCGTAATTCGCCATTACGAAAAAATTCTGCGAAAGCTAAAGAGCATAACGCAGCGATACGAAGATTCTTTAACTTAGCATCTTTCTTGTTGTGAACATCTAAAATACTTCTTATGATGTCTGGGGTAATAGGCTTCTTTTTCGTAACTGGCTGTGACTTCTGGCGTTTAGCAGCTTCGATGAAATTCCTGCAAAATTCACTATCCAAAGGATTACGATCCAAACTAGGGACAAAAGAATGCAAGCATTTAAGGGCCGCATGGGCTAAAATTACTGAGGAACTACAAGCGCAAGACTGCTGAACTTCAAATAGATATAGAGAATCAACACTACGGGGAAAAGGTAACTGCATGTTGAAATGTCTACTTTTAGACCAGTCCAAGAACTTTCTGATAACACGAATGTAAGCTTTAGTAGTTATATCCGCCCTGGACTTCAACATAACTTCTAGAACCTCGTAAACGTTGATCGAAGAAAATTGTTGAAAGCTCTGGAATTACTTGATATCATTATCTGGAAAGACAAGAACAAAGCATATATACTAAAAGAACAAAAGAAAGAAC